GTGTGGAGGGGTGGCCAGACCAGGGGTAGTGCAGATACCCCGGACATTGCACTGGATGGCCAGGCAGGGAATCTTGCATGCACCCAAGGCTGCAGTGTCCAGGGACACGTGTCCACTCTATCCCACCTTCCTCAGGTCAGGCCTCAGGGGGCATATGTGCCCCCACTGCCGTATATCAGCTCTCTCATAAACCCTGATGCCCGGGCAGGTGGGGGGATGGGGAGGTTCTCTGATGGTTAGCACTCCTGAACTGCAGCCAGATCTTGTGCCCTCAGGACCTTTGCAGCCTACTTATGCTCAGAGGGCACCCTTGCTCTCCACTGCTGTGGGAAAAACTGGAATTGCTCCCCCACCCCCCAAAAAGGGCTAAGGGGCATAGATAGGCTTGAGGAGGTGTTTCTGGGTTCCCATCCAAATGACTTCATTTTAACTTGGTGATTTTTCAAAGAATGTCACAGTCATTAGTATACAATTCAACCCATAACAATGCTTATATAACTTTTAAAGTTTTTTTTCACATATATTTTATAAGAAAAATTGAACACTAATTTTAAATTGGTTTCTCAAATTTGGAATTTCTCAAATTTGGGGGAGGGGTTTAGAATCTTATGACAAGTTAAACATACTATCATAAAACCCAGAAACTCCAACTCAAAAGAATCGAAAACTTAAGTTCACAGAAAGACTCCTGTGAGAGTGGACACAGAAGGATTATTCATAAATAATAAAAAATGAAAGCAACCAAAGGGTCCATCTACTAGAGAAGAAAGAAACAAATTGTACTGTGGAATACTACTCAGTCATGAAAAGGAATGGCACTTTCATAGATGCAGCAGCATTAGTGAATTTCAAAAACATATAAAATACCAATTGGTATGTTTCCATTTATATGAGACTAGAAAAGGCATCATTATAATGATAGAAACTAAATAAGTATTAGCCTTAGGTTAGGTGGGGGAAGAGATGGATGAAGCAGGAAGAAATGTTTCAGAACTGGACACCAGTGGCTCATATCTATAATTCTAGGTAGTGGGACCCTGAGATCAGGAGGATCGAGGTTTGAGTCCAGCTCAGGCACCCATAAGAGACCTCTCTTTTTTTTTTTTTTTTTTTGAGACCTCTCTTTTTAAAAAGATATTTTTAATTATTATAAATGTGATGTACAGAGGGGTTATAGTTACATAACTCAGGTAAAGAATATATTTCTTTTCTTTCCAGTCATGGGGCTTGAAGTCAGTGCCTGCACATTGTCCCTGAACTTCTTTTGCTCAAGGTTAGCACTCTACTAGTTGAGCCACAGCACCATTTCTGGCCTTTTCTGTGTATGTGGTACTGAGGAATGGAACCCAGGGCTTCATGCATGCTAGGCAGACACTCTACCACTAAGCCACATTCCCAGCCATGAGTGCATTTCTTTTTGACCATGAAGAGACCTGTTTCAACCAATAGTTGGTGCGGTTATATATGCCTGTCATACCAGCTGTGATGGGGATTGAGCTTTGGAGAAAAGTTTCCAAGATTCCATTTCAATGAAAAGGAGCTGGGCATGGTGATACAGGTTTGCTATCTCAGCTTAAAACAGAAGGATATAAATCCATGACCATGTCTGGGCAGGAAGCCAGACCCAGACCCATTTGAAAAATAACCAATGCAAAAAAGAGCAAGAGGGGTGGCTTAATGGCAGAACACCTGTCTAGCAAACAGGAGGCTAGTTCAAACTCTAGTACCGCAAAAAGAAACTAAGTAAGTTTCAGGTGCAGAAACTGCTATTTATATTCAAATCAAAAACAAAAAGCCACCACAAAAAAACACAACCCCCCTCCCTTTCCCCCAAACTTCTATCAATGTACAATTTGGGCAAACTTCTAAAAACCCTATGATAAAAATAAAATCTTGAGGTAGACATGCTAGTGGTTACCTATAATCCTAGCTATTCAGGAGGCTGTGATCTAGGACTGCAGTTCAAAGCCTGTCTAGGAAAGTCTATAAGTCTTTTATCTCCAATTAACTACCAAAAAAGATGGAAATGGAGGTATGGCTCAAGTGGTAAAATACTAGCCTTGAGGACATAAGCTCAGAGACAGTGCCCAAGCCCTGAGTTTAAACCCCCGAACTGGCACACATATACACAAATAAAATCTTAAGCAGCAAGGAACACAACAGAAGGAGGAGGATTAGAGTTACAGAAGACTTCTGAGCCAGGCACTGGGGTTTATGCCTGTAACCCTAGCCACTCAGAAGGTTGTGATCCATGGGGCCAGGAAGGTGGCTCAGCAGTAGAGTGCTTGCCCTTATGCATGAGGCCCTGGGATTGATTCCTCAGCACTACATAAACAGAAAAGGCCAGAAGTGGCACTGTGGTTTAAGTGGTAGAGTGCTAGCCTTGAGTTGAAGAGCTCAGGGACAGTGCCCATGCCTAGAGGTCAAGCCCCACGACAGGAGGAGGAGGGAGGGGGAGGAGGAGGAGGCGGTGGCAGCAGCGGCAGTGGCTTGGATCCAGAGGATCAAAGTTCAAAGCCAGCTTTGGCAAAGTCTTTGAGACCCTATCTCTAAAATAATCATTAAAAAAAGCAGGGCTGAAAGTGTTCAAGTTAGTAAAGTGCCAGCTGAGTTAGCAAGCAGAACAAGTGAGAGGCCCAAAAGGAACTACAGATGACTTCTACTCAGAAACTATGCAAGCTGAGAAGCCAATGCACTCACAAGCATCAACCTCAACACACCAAACAATAGTCAATCCAAAATCCTGTACATTTTTTGTGTGTGTTGGTTGTAGAGCTTGAACTCAGGCCTGGGCACTGTCCCTGAGCTTTTTTGTTCAAGACTAGAGCTCTACCACTTTGAGCTACAGCACTACTTCCAGTTTTCTGGTGGTTATTTGGGGATAAGAGTCTCATGGACTTTACTGCCTGGGCTGGCTTTGAACCATGATCCTCAGATCTAAGCCTTGAGTTATTAGGATTACAGGTGTGAGCCATCAGAGCCTGGCTAGATTCCTATACTTTTTAAAGAAATATACTTGGATGAATTTTTTGGAAGTGGTCGTAGGTTGATCTGGAAAGCCTAGAAAGCAACTATGATCGTAAATTAGGACTTTCTAATGAGTCATGTATCCTGTCTTAAGTTGAGCTTGGTCATTTGTATAAAATTTTGAGGATAGTGAATTTGAGGACAGTGAATTCTTTCCAATGTGAAAGTTTGATATTTTCACAAAAAAAGATGAGAACTAGAAGTGTGGTTCAAGTGGTAGAGCACCTGCCTAGCAATATCAAAGCCCTGAATTTACACACCAGTACCACCACAAAAAAAAGGAGAAAGAGGTTCGGTATATACATTTTGATTGGGAGAGATGGGGGGAGATGGAAGGGGTGGCATTGATCAATGTAAACTGACATGTTGAATGGAAACCTCTTTGTACTAAAGATTTAAAAAAAAAAAAAAGATGAGAACATTCATTGCCAGAAAAACTGTGCAAAAGGTAACACTAAAAGGAAGTTTAGACAGGAGGAGTATGATGCCAGGCAGAAATTTAGATGTATTTGAAGAATGAAGAATAATCGTAAAACCTTTTTGTCTTGATGGTACTGAGCTTTGAGTTCAGGGCCTCAAGCTTCCTCAAGCTTGCTCGGGTGGCATTCTCCCACTTGAGCTGTGCCTACAGCCCAGCTTCTTGCTGTTTTGCAGTATCTTGGCATTTTCGGTCCTGGCTGGCGCTGTATTCTATTATGCCCGTCTAGGCTGGCGCTCTGCCCCCTGAGCCACAGCTTTTTGCTGGGTATTTGGGGGAAAAGTGTGACGGACTTCCCTGGGGTCTCAGTGAGGATAACAGGCGTGAGCCCCCGCGCCCGCCATTATCCCTGTTAGGAACTGGAGTGGGGTCTCTAGAAAACAGTTACTTGGCCAAGACACCTCGGTGCGAAACGGCGCCTCCCGGGAGGGCCGGTGGGTCGGGAGCCTCGGCGCTCACCCGAGGGCCGGGCAGTCGGGGGCCTCGGCGCTCACCCGAGGGCCGGGCTGGTCGGGGGCCTCGGCGCTCACCCGAGGGCCGGGCTGGTCGGGGCCTCGGCGCCCACCCGAGGGCCAGGCTGGCCGGGGGCCTCGGCGCTCACCCGAGGGCCGGGCTGGTCGGGGGGCCTCGGCGTTTACCCGAGGGCCGGGCCTGTCGGGGGCCTCGGGGCCCACCCGAGGGCCGGTGGGTCGGGGGCCTCTGCGCTCACCCGAGGGCCGGGCTGGTCGGGGGCCTCGGCGCTCACCCGAGGGCCGGGCCGGTCGGGGCCTCGGCGCCCACCCGAGGGCCGGGCCGGTCGGGGGCCTCGGAGCTCACCCGAGGGCCGGGCAGTCGGGGGCCTCGGCCTCGGCGCCCACCCGAGGGCCGGGCCGGTCGGGGGCCTCGGAGCTCATCCGTGGGCCGGGCAGTCGGGGGCCTCGGCCTCGGCGCCCACCCGAGGGCCGGGCCGGTCGGGGGCCTCGGCCTCGGCGCCCACCCGAGGGCCGGGCCGGTGGGGGGCCTCGGCCTCGGCCTCGGCGCCCACCCGAGGGCCGGGCCGGTCGGGGGCCTCGGCGCTCACCCGAGGGCCGGGCGGTCGGGGGCCTCGGCCTCGGCGCTCACTCGAGGGCCGGGCGGTCGGGGGCCTTGGGCCTCGGCACTCGCCGACCTCGGCCTTCCGGGGCTGGGACTAATCAGAGCTCACTGGAAAGTTCTGTGCTCCCACAGTTTTACCGGGGCGTCGTGCCTCTGGGGCCCTCCGACGACCGAGGGTCCACCGGAGCCCTCGACGGGTGCGACCCGTCACGCGGCGGGACCGCAGGCGTCGGCTGAGGGGGTGGCGCGCGCGCGCGTGCGCGGGTCCGTTGCTAAGGCTGCGCGGCCTTGGCGACGGGCGGCGGGTGGCGCGCGCAGGCGCAGTGGTGCGCTGCGGTGCACTGTGGGATGGGAGTTCGGGGGCACCGAGGCGGCGGCGGGCGGCGAGCGGCGGTTGCGGCCGGGGCGGAGGCGCGGCCGGGCCGACGGAGGGGCGCGGGCGGCCAGCCGCGCAGCAGGCGCCGCCATGAACGCGGCGGTGGTGCGGCGGACGCAGGAGGCGCTGGGCAAGGTGATCCGGAGGCCGCCGCTGACGGAGAAGCTGCTGAACAAGCCCCCGTTCCGCTACCTGCACGACATCATCACCGAGGTGAGGGCGCGCGGGCCGGGCGGGGCGGGGTCGAGGCTGCGGCGGGGCGCGGGGCGCAGGCCTGGGCGGGGCTCTGCGCGGGGCCCGGCGGGGGTCAGGGTGCAGGCCGGGTGAAGATCGGGGCCGGGGACCCCGCTCCCGCAGCCCGGCCCGCGGCAGGCCCAGCTCCGCGCCCGCCTGCGCCCACCTCGGGGCGGGCGGCCTTGGAGGGAGGCCGGGGCCCCTCGGGCCTCCCAGGCCCCTTCCCCTCCCGGCCCGCGTCTGCCCTGCTGCCGGCCGAGCGACCCCAGGGCCCCCCTCCCAGCCCGTTGCGTTGCTCTCGCTGGGTCCCGGGCGGCCTAATCCAGGGAGAACCGAGTTGACCCTTTTCCGCTGCCTCTCCCCAAGGCCTCTCTCCGCATTGCTCGTGCCGGGTCATCACTGAGATATTGAGGTGGTGTGGGGGTGTTTTATAAATACCTGCAGGTGTTTGGTGTGGAGGGGCGACCTGACAGGAGAGCTCTAAGAATGTAGTTTGGTACTTGTTGCTCAGCAGCACGGCTGCCTTAGCTTTAAATGGACTCCTCTCACTTAGAAAGTGGTGCATTCCCCCGTGATAGACACCAACACTTTGTTGTTGGTTTGTCTCCAGTGAGGTGAGCTGGAAGGTACATAGAAATCGCAAAACAAACATTCACTGTTGAATGGGTCTGACCAGGTTCCTGGTAAGCTCAGGAAGGCCGCCACAGGGGGTGACAGGGCCCCCAGGGCACTGCGGAACTTAGGGTGCTGCTTGGGACTTAGGAGTCGGTTGAACTTGCGGGCTCCCCAGCTCACAATTGCACCCGGTGTTGGTCCCTCAGCTGTTACTTCTCACTCTTTTCGGAAGGCTGGGCACCTATTTCTTCTCCAAACAACTTCATTATTTTGGCCATCCTGTGTTAGCTTGTAATGTGTACTCAGCGAGAGTGCCTGCCTGCGTTAAAACTAATTGTGTTTAGAAATGCACTGGATTTTACCTATCTTCCAAGGAGCACCATCTCACCACCCCCCTGTGACCAGAGGGAGCAAGAAAGAATTAGCCCAGATGTGAACTCCCCCGTCACAGCCGAGGCTGTGCTAGTGTTTGGCCCCGTGCAGGGCAGAGCAAGCCTCACCCAGTAGGGACCCTTGGGCCACCTGGAGGCTGGGTGCAGAGCATCTCTGTGGGAGGGAGGAGGAGCACTCAAGTAGGAACTAATTTTGCAGGCCGGTAGACAGGTAGAGAAAGAGCTACATAGTCTCATTAGGAGCAGATTGACTCTTCTTCCATGCTTTTCCTAATCTAATGCTGAAATCAGTGTCTAATGTATAAACACACTGTCATCTCAATAAAGGCATTAGAGATATTGGAAAATATTTTTATATAATAGGTGGAGAGCTTTCTGAGCTTTACTGTCTCTATCTTGTTCAAGCTACTGTCTTGGTAATTTTAATTGTATAGCTGTATGATTACTTCTTTCATCAAGATTAGCTTCCATTCTGTGACATTAATGTATCTTGTCACTAGCAATTACTGCTCACAATTTAAACTTTCCAAGGCAGGGACAAAGAGAGCAAGCTCCAGGAATATATTACATGTAGGATGATCTTATAGTCATTTTTACCTGTCTTCTTAATAAAACAAATCAATAACCTAGTAGGTGCTGGGCACTGGTGCCTCACCCTTGTAATCCTAGCTACTCGGGAGGCTAAGATCTGAGGATTTTGGTTTGAAGCCAGCCCAGGCAGGAAAGTCTGTGAACTCTGATCTCTAATTAACCACCAAAAAGCTTGAAGTGGAGCTATGGTTTCAGTGGTGAAGCTAGCCTTGAGCACAAAAGCTCAGAGACAGCAACCAGGCCCTCAGTTCAAGCCCCAGGCTTAGCAAAAACAACAGCAACAACAAACAAGCAAAATAGCATGTTGGAATGAAATCTTCTAGATTAGAAATTATCATGATGTAAATGAAGTCTAAGTTGGAGTCCAGAGAAGAAGGCTGGTGTCTTTTGTTTTTAAAACCGCCTCACAGAAATATGCTTTCTAGTGGACCTAGGACACTTTCAGGTGTGTATGTCCCTACTATATATCATGTACCTGATATTTTCTGTTCTGTTTCATTTTTTAGAGAATGCTGTTATCTATTTATATTCATTTCATAATAACCTACTACATTTTATTTTTATGTATTTCTTTTTGGATATGGGGTCCTATGTGTAGCTCAGGCTGTCCTCAAACTTGTGAACCTCTTGCCTCAGACTCCCAAGTGCTAGGATTACAGGTATAATCTCAGCTTAATGTACTACATTTGGAAAACCTCTGGTTCTAGGGAATCCAGGACCCTGGTTGATTATTCATGTGGGGAGGAACAGAGACAACTACTGGCCTGCAAGCTGGCTTTAGAGGCCATTAGAGAACCAGATTGCCTGAAGGGAGGAGCCCTGGGGGTGGGGGATGGAGAGAGAATGAACAAAAATGATGGGGTACAGGATATCTACTATCCTAAGAAGTGAGAAGACCCTCTGAAACTTCTAGTTTTGGATATCCAGGCTAAGCTGTTACTTTTGTTTCTGGAATCAGTTACCTCCATGGCAACTGATGCTGGCGAAATGCTGCAAGGGTAGGTCCTCTGCCATTGAACTCTTTCTGCCTCCCTGGAGCCCTTGCTGGGTTTGTGGTTGTGAATGACTGCAAAGGGCTTCCAGATCAGGCTGCACGTGACTGTGCCCCAAGCTCCTGTGGTCCCACACTCATCCCTTGAATAGAATCATCTTGACCACATCCTTGTATGATTGATTCTCCTGTTGGCTGTGGGCTTCCTGAACGCTCCTTCCTCTGGCTTTTCTCTTGTTAGCATGTGGTCCCAGTTTAGGTGTGATTTCTCCTGGGAAAGGTGTTCCTGGTACCTCTTGGCTCTTCCCTTCCCTTGGGCTTCCTCAGCACTTGCTGAGTGTCGGTAGTCTTGGTCTTCACTGCCTAGCTATTTTCTGGATTCTGTCTGGATTCTGCCTGGTATAGTGCTTGGTAGTTTGCGTGTTGAGGAAACAAATGGTTGGAGTCCTGAGTTCTGACCATCCTGCATGGGGGCTAAGGGGTGAGGCTGGTGAGGTAGCTGTCCTACAAGGTTTGCATGATGGCCTCTCTCTGTCTTTTGAAGGTGATTAGGATGACTGGCTTCATGAAGGGCCTTTACACAGATGCCGAGATGAAGTCAGACAATGTCAAGGTAGGTTTGAGTGTGGGATCCTCTCCACATCTCTGATTAATTTGTGAGCTGATGTATACCCTTTTCATTTAGTTTTTTTTGTTTGTTTGTTTGTGGTATCTGCATGCCATGCTAAATTTATCCACTGAAAAACAGATTTAGAACAGGGTGCTCATGGCTCATGCCTATAATCTCAGCTACCCAAGAAGCTGAGATCTGAGAATCGTGGTTTGAAACCAGCCTAGGAAGAAAAGTTTGCTTAGATTCCATCTCCAAAAAACCAGCAAAAAGTTGGGCTAGAGGTATAGCTCAAGTGGTAGTGTGCTAGCCTAGTTAGCATGAGGCTCTGAGTTCAAACCCCACTATTGCTTAAAATAAAAACAAAAACAAACAAAAAACCTAAACAAAACTGATAGCTAGCCTGTAATCCTAGCATATGGAGGCTGACATCTGAGGATTGTGAGTTGAGCCAGCCTGGGCAGAAAAGTCTGTGAGACTCTTATCTCCAGCAAACTACTCAGAAAAGGTTGGAGGCACTGTGCCTCAAGTGGTAGAGCACCAGCCTTGAACAAAGCTCAGGACCAGTTCCCACGCCCTGAGTTCAAGTCCCAGAGCCTGCAAAAAACAAAACAAAGCAAAAATATTGGAGAAAAACAAAACAAAACAAAAAACCCTGCAGACTTAGACAGATTGGAGAAAAACAAAACAAAAAACCCTGCAGACTTAGACAGATATAGTGGCACAGCCCATCATCTTAGCACTTAGGAGGCTGAGATAGGAGAATCAAGAGTTTGAATTAAGCCTGAGCTATGTAGCAAGACCTTTTCTCAAAAATCAAACAGAACAGCCAAAAACAGAATTAGTATTTTAAAGGTTAATACCGGCTCATCAAAACTTTTAGTAAGTAGCTCTTGCTGTGTTACCAAAGGTCAGTGTTTTTAAAATTGTCATCCATTTCTATAAAGAGGATACGTTCTGTGCCCATGGAACATACCGAGCATAATGCAGACTCTCAACTATTTTAATGTGTATATTTCATACAATCTGAAAATCACAGTGGTAATATGTATATTTTAAATGGAAACATTTCAGGATAAAGATGCAAAAATTAGCTTCTTACAGAAGGCCATAGACGTGGTTGTGATGGTTTCAGGAGAGCCCTTGTCAGTCAAACCAGCCCGCATTGTGATGGGAATTGAGCCTGAAAGAACAAATGAACTGCTTCAGACAATTGGAAAGTGCTGTCTCAACAAGGTAAGGCTGCAGGCAAGCCCACTGCACACACCCTTCCCAGCTGAGGGGCAGCACTCAGGGAGGAGTGAAGTAATGTCTCTGGCAGGTTGAGGAACTTTTCTTCCACCTATTCTCCAGCCTTTTAAAGGTCTGGGAGACTTTTTATCCATTTGTAAAGGTGTGAGAAAATGTTGAGGTGTGCTATGCACGTGGGAACGTGGACTTTCCAGAACTTGTTTTCTGCCTGCTGGCTGGAAGCTGCCTTGCTACTTTCTCCTTCTGGGTCTGGGGCTCCTTTGAGGATGGGCTGTTCCACTGGGGCTGGGGAGAAGGTGCTGCTCATCTTCCTTGGGGCTTGTAGGGGAGTCCCTGTTCTCTTCTTCTCCTGCCTAGACTCCCTGCCTCTCTTGTTGCTGGTAAAGAGCTGGGCCACCTTCAAAGGCTCCCAGAGAGTAGATTTGTTCCTTCTGTGCCCTCTCTGTGGACTGGAAACGTGGGTGCCAGCCCTCAGCCTCCTGGTTAGCCCAGCCTGGGCTTCATTTGCCTGGATGTTGGAAGACATCATCCTGATGGCAAGCCAAGTAGTCCCCTTAGGGGCCTTCACTAGGAGTGTGATTGACACAGCCCAACGTGTGCCTCCTGGAGCCTCGGCTTAGATGTGTCCAGATGGGTGCAGGTGTGGTGTGGGGTGTGTAGTGAGTGGTCAGACTAGCTTCAGAAGGTCTCAAGAGAGCCTTGCTGTCATCTAGGTCCAGATCCGGGTGTTGATTTTACCAGTATGCTAGTCCCTGTCCCTAGCCTCCCATCCCCTCATTCTTTATGTGGCTTCTCTTTCTGAAAGGCAGATTGGACTCTGATTTTCCCTACTGTATCATTTGCTGGTCCCTCCTCTGGCTTATGGCCTCTAGAGACCCACTGGTGCTTCTTTCAGGTTCTGCCCTTACCCTGCACACCCACTCCACTTCATTCTGCTCTACGCAACTCCATTCAGCTCCACTCCACCTTACCCAGCTCCACCCTATTCTACACACTCCATCCACTGCTCTACCACCCACCCATTCTACTCAGTTCCTCCCCATTCCACTCCAGTCATTGCACCCACCAGACATCTGCACTGGGCATTTCCCTCACTTTACACCCTTGTCTCAGTGCCCACTGATTTCTCCAGGCCTGGCTGCCTGCCTCCTCCAGCTTCACCTGCCAGCTGTGTGGAATCTGTGAGGTTTGCTGATGGCTGGGGCCCTTCTTCCCTTCCAGTCTCCAGAGCGTGTGGCTGTCTACTAGTGTTTGTCTCCTCCAGTCGTCAACTTGTCCTGGATCCTTACAGCTGGTGCTGGTGTGTAGTAACTTGTGCACCTTTGTGGAAAGGATGAGTTGATGAGCAGGGCTGCTGACAAGATATTCTTAGCACCCTGAACCACCTGAGTATTTGTCAGGCATGTTGCAGAAGGACTTTAGTCATTTTATGAGGCTTAAACTGATTCATATCCACCTCCCCGCCTTTTAATTGTGTTAAAATTCACATAACTAAATCTTGTGGTGTTTAACATGTCCATAGTGGTACACAACTGCCACTACCATCTATTGCCAGAATTGTTTTTATCCTGCAAAACTGAGATTCCATACCTTTGAAGAAAACTGTCCCAGCTCTTGGTAACCACCCTTTTCTTTCTATCACTCTAAGTTTGACTACCCCAGGTACCTCATACAAGTGGTAGTATCTGTCCTTTTATAAGATTGGCTTATTTCACTAGCATTTTATCTTCAAAGTTGACCTGCATTTTAGCATACTAGGATTGCTCCCTTCTTCAAGGTTGCCAATATTCTCTTGTGGGGGCAGACCATGTTTTGCTGATACATGAATTTGTGAGTGGATGCTGGGTTGGTTGCTTCCATTTTTTACCTATCCAAGCTAATCCTGCCATAAACATTGTATGGAAATCAGACCAGTTTTCATTTTCTTTGTGTATAAATGCAGAGCAAAATTGCTAATTCATACAGGTAATTCTGTGTCTGAACGTCTGAGGAACTGCTATCCTGCTTTCTTCAGCAACTGCACCATTTTTCATCCCTTCCACACCAGTTCTTATACTTCTTTTTTGTAGTGGCTTCCTAGTGGATGTGAGGTCATTGGATCATATCTTAAGGCCCTTCAGCTGAGCTTCTGTGAGCCCATTAGCAATAGAAAATTTTTGTAGAGCTCTCTGAGTCAGCCTTGTTACCCTTGAACCATCCACTCACATATCCACTCTTAGAGACGAGCTGGGACCACACATCTACTCACACATCCTCTCAGAGATGTACTGGAACTCGTCAGCTGGGTGAGTCTTTGTTCATCCACTTGTAGAGATGACCTGGGACTTCTCAGCTGGGTGGATCCTTGTTCATGTGCTAGCAAGAGCTGCTATGCTTTGTCTGGGATAACACTTTCTTGTAAAATATCATGGTAAATAGAAAATCTGTTTAGTGAACTACTTTAAATGCCATATTCACTTGTTACATATTACTCTTACTTTCACCTTGCGTTTCGTTGGCTGGCATTTGGACATCCAGCTGTCTAGTGACGATGCAGTGAAGAGGGTTTTAGCTGGAGAAAAGGCGGACATGAGAGGAAGAGCCCCAAGGGCCTCTAAGTCTCAGGAGCCGGACAATAAGAATGTGAAGGAGGAAGAGTCCAGAGCGCATAAAGAGGTGAGCTGCAAGCTGCACATCTGCAAATGCTGAGCCCTTTATCTAGGAGACAAGATGCACACGTGATGTGTATGTACTTTTTTTTTTTTTTAGGATAAAAGAAACTCTGAAATGAAGGATGGAAGTACAAGCAGAGAGGGAAAACATAAGGAAGAACTGAAAGAAGAAAGCAAATCCAGGGAGAAGGATAGGGACAAGGAGAAGAGCAAGGAGAACGGCAGAGACCGACATGAGGATCCCGACAAGGACAAATACCGAGAAGGGGAGAGAGAGAAAAGCAGAAACAGGGCCAAGCAGGACAGAGACAGGGACAAAGACCGAGGGCACAAGGATCGGGACCGCGATGCAGACCGGGAGAAAGAGAGAGAGAGGAGGAGTGAGGGAGGGAAAGAAAAAGAGAGGTTGAAAGACAGGGACCGAGAACGTGACCGGGACAAGGGAAAAGACCGGGAGCGACGGAGAGTGAAAAACGGGGAGCACGCCAAGGACCACGAGCGTGACAAGAACAGAGAACAGGACAAACTGGAGAAAAAGGTAAGTACAGATTCAGACACTGACTTAGAAAGACCCTGGCTGTTTTCTTATTTTTGTTGTTTTGTGCTGGGACTTGAACTCAGGGCCTGGGAACTATCCCTGAACTTTTTCTTTTTTTTTTTGGGTCCAGTCGTGGGGCCTGAACTCTGGGCCTGGGCGCTGTCCCTCAGCTCAAGGCTAGTGCTCTACCACTTGAGCCACAGCGCCACTTCCGACTTTTTTCTTTTTGCTTATGTGGTGCTGAGGAATCCAACCCAGGGCCTCAGGCATGCAAGGCAAGCGCTCTACCACTGAGCCACCTTCCCAGCCCCCCCTGAACTTCTTTTGCTCAAGGCTAGCACTTTTTAGCACTTGAGCCACAGAACCACTTCTGGCTTTTTCTGTGTATGTGGTACTGAAGAACCCAGAGTTTGAACTCAGGGCTTCATGCATACTAGGTAGGCACTGTGCCACAAAGCCACATTCCCAGCTACCCTGGCTGTCTAAGAAAGTCTGTCTTAGAATGGTTTTCTTTTACAGTGACTTGAAATTACATCCCTCTTGGATTCCTGGTAGCAACCCAAACAGGAGCCCACTTCTTGCCTGATATCTTTTTCTAATTTTTAAAGGTTTTTGCTGCTCATTAATAGTTCACTGTTCAGCCTTTTATTAAGGCATAGTCTTTCAGCCAGTCCCCACTTTATATCCCCCAGAGCATGCTTTGGGTTTGTTACTTGTGTGTTCACTGTTGAATTTCCAGTCTAGCCGAGTGTCTGCACATAGTAGGTCTGTAAAATGTTTTTGGTAAAGGAGTGGAGTGTGAGTCAAGACAGGGATGGGGTAGAAGTACAGGAGGCCTCTGGATGAGGTGATGGTCTGGGAGGAGTATAAGCCAGGAAGACACCCACGTACTTGCTGTCTGTTGACTTTTAAGACTTTCTAGGCTAGTAGGGTAAACAGCAGTTTTCATAGACTCTACGTTGCCCATGTTGTCCTTATCTTTGACTTGCCAGATAGTTTGCGATTTGCTTTCCCCTGGGTGTTCTGTGTGTGTGTGTGTTGGGGCTTGTGTGCTTTTCTGACGATTGACACCATAAGCCTGTTTACAGATAGGGTCAGTTGTATGCATGGTCTTTTTTCAGATCATGCACATTATTGAACTTATTAAGGATTAGACTACTTTCAGAGTCTTTTAGGCATTAGCAGAACTTCAGTTGACTGTAATTCTGGTTTAATGAGAAATACTTCAGGTAGATTTTAGATTGGCTAGAAAATTCTTTTTTGATTTCAAACTATGCTTCCTAAACGCTCAGTTTACTTGGACACAGGATGTTTTTCCTGCTGCCTTTCTTGTGGGTCAGAGTATATAAAGATTCATGGCGACCCGAGTGGGGTCCATAATGTAAACTAATCTTTCTATGGAAGTCATTGTGCACCTGTGCACAATGCAATTGTGTGCCTGTCCAAAATGCATGTTGTGGGGTTTTTTTTTGTTTTTTTTTTTTTTTGGGTCCAGTCATGGGGCCTGGACTCTGGGCATGGGCGCTGTCCCTCAGCTCTTCAGCTCAAGGCTAGCGCCCTACCACCTGAGCCACAGCGCCACTTCCGGCTTTTTTTTTCTTTTTGCTTATATGGTGCTGAGAAATCAAACCCACGGCCTCATGCATGCAAGGCAAGCACTATACCACTGAGCCACCTTCCCAGCCCCTGCATGTTGTGGTTTTGTTAGTAATTGAGTATAGGGTCCTGCTGGGAATCGTGGGGTTTTACTGTTATGATGTCAGTTTTTTACCTCCTGTACATATCCTATAGTAACATATCCATGGTCCATGTCATGAAAAGATGGTCTGCTTCCTGTGTGTTTAGAAATCAGAGACCTTCACTATCTTTTCTTCTTGGTGGTCTAAGGAAATGTATTTTTCACTGACCTGGTCTTTGTGAGGTATCTGTGTATTCTGGTGTGTTTTCCTGGTGCAGGACCACCCCGAATGAGACAGCCTTCAGTACTTGAGGTCTACAGATTGAGCGCTCCCATGTATGCTCCCTAGAGTTGCTGGTGCTGAGACTAAGTGTTATATAGAAGACAATTCCGTAGAGAAACATTGTACCTGGTGTTTGGGATCTTCAGAACCAAGTACAAATGTGGGTATAGTAGATAAAGTACAGCATGGGTTTGTTTGGAAGGATTTAAAACCATGGAATGAGGTCAGACCTGTTTAGATATTTGGTGGTGATTTTGTTTGCTTGGCTCTTCTGAGAATCTTCATGTGTCTTTATTTTATTTTTTATTGTTTGTCAGTTGTGGAGCTTGAGCTCTGGGCCTGGGCGCTGTCCCTCAGCTCTGCAGCTCAAGGCAAGCGCTCTACTGCTTGAGCCACAGCGCCACTTCCGGTTTTCTAGTGGTTTATTGGAGATAAAAGTCTCACAGACTTTCCTGCCCGGGCTGGCTTTGAACCACAATCCTCAGATCTCAGCCTCCTGAGTAGCTAGGATTACAGGCGTGAGCCACCGGCACCCAGCTTCATGTGTCTTTATTGAGCTGTGTGGATCTGGGAGGCAAGGGCAAGGTCTTTTGTGGTCAGCAGTGCCATGAAGGCATGAGCTGCTGTGAAACACTTCCCAAAGAGCCCCAGTTCCTAGAATTGGGGTTAGTACCCCTTATTGAGAACAGCAGATCCAATAGTCATTCTATTCTCTGGCTCACTCATCCATGACTCCTCCCCATTTCATTTCCATCAAGAACAGAGGATGAGGGGCTAGGAATGTGGCTTAGTGGTAGAGTACATGCATGAAGCCCTGGGTTCTATTCCTCAGTACCACATAAACAGAAAAAGCCAGAAGTGGCACTGTGGCTTAAGTGGTAGAGTGCTAACTTTGAGCAAAAGACGCTCAGGCTAGCTGGGCACCGGTAGCTCATGCCTGTAATCCTAGCTACTCAGGAGGCTGAGATCTGAGGATCATGGTTCAAAGCCAGCCCGGGCAGAAAAGTCTGTGAGACTCTGATCTCCAATAAACTACTAGAAAACCGGAAGTGGCTCTGTAGCTCAAGAGGTAGAGTGCTCGCCTTGAGCTGAAGAGCGCAGGGATAGTACCCAAGCCCAGTGTTCAAGCCCCACTACCGACCAAAAAAAAAAAAAAAAGACACTCAGGGACAGTGCTCAGGCCCTGAGGTCAAGCCCCAGGACTGGCAAAAAACAAACAAAAAAACAAGGGTGAGATCTCCAGCTACCTTGTGGGTGTGTTGGTGAAGAAAAGTGAAACTTATTGAGAAATCAGAGGGTTACAGTGTGATGGCTGGAGCCTAGGAGCTGGCTGAGATGTCTGGGGGCCTAACCACCTCCTGACAGTCTCTCTCAGGGCCACAGCTGATGATAATGGGACTTGGGAGGGTGACCCATGTAGGGCAGACCTGCACTCAGGTCATTACCTCTGGTCCATTAACCTCCCACCTTGAGCAGAGTAGTAGCAACGAATGAGATCTGTAGCAGTAACTGGTGTTTATGTAGAGGATTATCTTGTTTGGTAATTAGTGTTACTTGAAAGATTTTACTGATTAGAATAATAAAGTTTAAAGAAATGTTTTTCTTTTTCTAGTCAACAACATCAGCAGAGGTGTCTAAAAAGTTGTCAGATGCTTCTTTAAAAGACTGCAAAGCAGAAATAGAGGTAAGCTTTAAAGAAGTTTCAAGGATGCACACTCTAGTAGAATTACAGAAGCTTTGTCTTCTTCTGGTCTGCTAGGTCTAGGAAGAGACTCGTTTGAGCTTACACAGAGCAGCCCCATCTTTATTTTACTGTCAAGATAGTGGCTTGTACGCCAGGTTCCAGTTGCTCATGCTTGTAATCTTAGCTACTCAGGAGACTTAGATCTGAGGATCAATGTTTGAAGTCAGCCCAGGCAGGGCTCTTACTTCCAATTAACCACCAAAGCACCTAGAATTGGAGCTGTGGTCCGAGTGGCAGAGCACTAGCCTTGAATATAGAAGCTCAGGGACAGCACCCAGGCCCTGAGTTCAAGCCCCAGGACCAATATACATGCACACACAAGCATACACATACACACATACACAGTGACTTTCATGGTTTGTCACGGGGTAAAACATGGGTGGTTTTCTGTGGGCATTCTGGGTTTATTTACATCTTGACAATTAGGGGTGTGGTGTATAATCAGAGATAGGAGAGAGGGTAGGGGTGGCGCTGAGGATGACTCTGGGAAGGATCAAGACACTATGCTGACAAGAAAGAGAGGCCAGCTGGAAGGACCCTTGTAAGTTCTGCTTGATGAATTTGGGATTCTGCAATTCTCTCCTATGGTGAGGTACAGTCATGGCCTATTATCTTTGGTACGTCATCTTGCGGGTCTTTGACTCATCTTGAGTCATATAGTGCTATTGAAGAGTTGAAGCCAACTTCCATCATCCATTTTGAAGTGTTCTCACAGAGGAGATGAAGGACACGGGTAGGGCTGGGACCTGTTGAGGTCCACTGTGGCTGCTCAGGGGAAGAATCATTGAGACTGGAGCTGTGCCAACAGGAGGAGATAGCAGATAGGGCTGTCCTCTGTTCCCTGACTTGTATTTTGTTGAAATGTGGTGTAAGGTTTCAGAGATGTATACAAATGCATTTCAGTAATTAAGAGCAGTCATGCACCACATAACAATGTTTTGGTAATAGATGGACTGCATCCACACTGGTATGTAGTCTCTAAGATTGTGTCACCTAATGGCACACCTTTGTGTGTTTAAGTACACTGAGGGTGTTGGCAACTAGGAAATTTGCTTAATGTTGCAGCACAGTTCTCCAGATGTGTCTCATCAGGCCCCAACTGTGGATGGCAGCAGAGACTGAGTCTTTATTTGTACATCTGCCGAGAGCCATTTGGATATTTATGATATCATTAGTGGTCTATACAACATTATCAATACAGGCAAATGGTTGGGCAGCTTTTTTTTTTTTGGGTCCGGTGGTGGGGTCTGAACTCTGGGCCTGGGAGCTGTCCCTCAGCTCAAGGCTAGCGCTCTACCACTTGAGCACCATTTCCAGCTTTTTTCTGCTTATGTGGTGCTGAGGAATTGAACCAAGGGCCTCATGCATGCGAGGCAAGCACTCTTACCACTGAGCCAACTTCCCAGCCCATGGTTGGGCAGCTTTAAGCCTATGAGAAGCATCTGTGTCTATCTTGTCATGTACCAGATGACCCGGCAGTATCTCTGCATACAGGCTCAGTGGATTGCTGCCCCACCTGAGGCTATACAAAAGCATGTAAATTTAGGTGAAAGAGTGTTGATGTCCTTCTCTGTAAGGACTTGAGGGCTTAGTTACAGTGTTATATGGCTCTCCTTTCCTATTTAGGGGTGCTGCATTGTTTGAGTACTTGTTTCCTCAAGTGAAGCTTGAGAGAGAAACCTGCTGATGCTATCACGGTGCGAACCACTTAACTCCCTTTCATTCTTTTTTCTTTAAGGTTGAAATTTCCACCAGTACAGGGAAGTTGTCAAAAAACGCAAAACGGCGACCCAAAAATGCTGTGGAAGGTACTGCAAAGCTGCTTGTATGTGGAGAGCTTCTGAGGTGGGAACAGGACTGCCGTGGCTGGGAGCTACCAGACTGTATGGACATGATGACTTGTGGTTTACACACACACCTGCACGCTCACACCACATCATATCATACCACACAAAGGATAGAGTAGCCTCCTTTACTAGAAGCTTGTTTAGAAACCTAAAAGACATTATGGAATTTTCACTTTGAAGAAATAATTGCTAGCCTTGTTTTCATGGGTCTTTATCTGTTACATTGGTAGGCAGATTTCATCCTATTACATCCTGAACAAAAAGAACAGACAGGCAGAAGATATGAAGATGTATGTTTTACCAGTCATATTTATGTACATATTTAATCTTTTCAGTCAGTCTCCTATTCTAATTCATGCTGTAAGGCAAGGCTCTGAAGTTGTTTATATTTTCATAATAACTCAGTGGCAGTTTTAGAGGCATGTGCTAGATAATCTTACCTTTCCCTTCTTTCCCTTGTACTCTGCAGTGCTTTGTGTACTGAGGTCTGGATTTTTCTTTTTTCTTACTTTTTTTTTTTCAATCTCCACTGTTTTCTGTTTTACTGCTAATTAGCTCTCATTATTATTATTATTTTTTTGTCTGTTGTGGGACTTGAACTCTGGGCTTGGGTGCTGTCCCTGTGCTCTTCAGCTCAAAGTGAGCACTCTACTGCTTGAGCCACAAAGCTACTTGTGGTTTTCTAGTGTTGATTGGAGTTAAGAGTCTGATGGACTTTCCTGCCTGGGCTGGCTTTGAACGGTGATCCTCAGATCTCAGCCTCCTGAGTAGCTAGGATTATTGGCATGAGCCACTGGTGCCCAGCTCTTTTTTTTTTTTTTTTTAATTGGTCGTGGGGCTTGTACTCTGGGCCTGGGCACTGTTCCTGAGCTCTTCAGCTCAAGGCTAGCACTCTACCACTTGAACCACCACGCCACTTCCAGTTTTCTGGTGGTTTCTTGGAGATAAGGGTCTCACAAACTTTGCTGTCTGGACTGGCTTTGATCTCAGCCTCCTGAGTAACAAGGATTACAGGCATGTGCCACCAGTGCCCAGCTACTCTCATTATTCTTTACAAAAGAGTTTTAAGCTGTTCCATATTTTTTTCTTTTGTTCTTCTGGCTACATTTTTTTTGTGTGTGTGTGGGTTGTGAGGCCTGATCTCTGGGCCTGTGTTCTCCCTCAGCTCTTCAGCTCAAGGTGAGCACTCTACCACTTGAGCCACAGCACCACTTCCAGCTTTTCTGCTTATGTAGTGATGAGGAATCGAATCCAGCTCCTCATGCATACAAGGCAAGTGCTCTACCACTGAGCCACCTTCCCAGCCCTTCTGGATCCATTTTAAGACTATGTCAAACTTCTCAGAACTTAGCTGATTTGTGTTACAGCTATGCTTTCCTTAGTTGAGGAGTATCGGACACCTCTAGTTTCAAGTTGGTCGAGCATCTTTTCTTCTGAAGAGACATGTGTGCATGTGCTGGTGTGTCAGTCAGAGTGATGGCTGATTGCTCTGATGGTGGGGTCTTCTGTTTTGTAATGATACTTATTGGATGGAGATAAGTGCTGATTTTTGGTAGTATGCTAAATCCAGCCTTCATTTCTCAGTTAGTCTAGTAGTTCTCCCACTGCTGCTCAGAGTTTCTCAGTAGATATCATCTCCTTTCTAACCACTCAGGACACTTCCTCCATGTTCTACAGAACTGGTGCCATGGGATTGTTACCAGGTTTTTCTCACAGGGACTTGTACGCTTTGTGTTAGTGAGCTTCCCTACCTTTAGTCAGCAGCATAATGGACTTATCTTCCTGCTTACGGGCCAGGCACTGACCTTCCCCAGGCCCTTTCCAGCCAAGCTGGCATGCCTCAGCATTCTACCATGCACCTAGAGGTTCTCAAGACATGGACTTGTGTATTCCTTTCAAGAGTAAGTTTTGAATCCATGAGACTGTGAGGGCAGCATATGTAAGCTGTGTGTAGATTCTTAATCTCTGTGAGCTCAGAAGACATCTGCATAAGAATGTGGTCATTTCTACTCATTCCTAAATAGTATATTACAGCAGAACTGAGAACTGAGATATAGAGTACATTTTAATTCATTTTTAAAAATAACCATCCAACATTACAAAGTAAGTTTAATACGTATTTTCATTGTGCAATTTCATGTCAGGAAGAAAAGACACTAAAACCAGTGAAAATAGCCTTTCCCCTGAAAAAGAACATAACTCCTCCTACCGTAAAGCTAAGAAGGAACGTGCTATGATGCAGCTCGGTAAGACTCAGTGGGCTGTAGTGAGGCTGTGAGTGAATGTCTGTGAGTTGAAATTGTCACTGCTGACTTCTGTTTGTGTGGTGTCACTGCACATGGAGCTGTGTGAGGTGACCACAGAAACCCTGCCCTGCGTGACTGCCCTGAGCGCCTGACACCTCCGCCAGAGAGGAGGAGGCAGAGGAATGTGGATCCTGCTGGACAGAGTGCAGGGCTGCCCTCGGCTAGCTGAGGTTGTTCCAGCCAGTCAGCTGTGGACTGCGATTGTCCACTAGAGCCTCCTTTCTTTAGGGTACAGACATTTATAATTATAAAAAGAACACAGGTGCAAAAGTGCATGCAAGGTGCTGATGGTTATTTTGAAGGAAAATGGAATCAAGAGAAGTAGGAATGGAGAGGCATAAATAAGCATGGAGGGCCTCGCTGAGCTTCTGAGAGCTGACTGGGGAGGAGGAAGACGTGTAGGTGTCCAAGGATCCTGAGCTGGAAGACAGGCTTGACTACATGTGTGTCAGGAAGTCCACTTCTCAGGCTAGGGTAGAAGGGGACAAGGACCTGTCAGCTGGGCCCAGAAGTGCTGGACCTCGTTGGCTGTGTGTTTCAAGGTCCTGGTGGGTTGAAGTAGGATAGAAATCAGGTTTGACTTGAGTTTTAAAAGGAACTCCTGAAATTGGAGGGTGGAAACAGGTTGGAGAGCAGGGAGGAGCCTGGATGATGGATGAGGGTGGTCAGACAGGCACTCGGGGGGGAGCAGATGGAACGGAAGACGGCCATAGAGGTAACAACTAGGATGGATTAGGTGCTGCTTGTTAGAAAGGAGAGGACTCAAAGGGCGACACATTTGGCAGTTCTGGGCACATAGGCAGTGCCACGTACTGAAACAGAAGACTTGGGAAAAGCTGTTTGGTGGGTTAGGAACCAGGGCCAGGAACTCTTATTTGGGATACATCCAGTCTGAGATGTCTGTGCAACACCCAAGTGGAGGTGTGCATGGAGGTGGATGTAGGCCTGCCATCAGGGAGAGTCGTAGAAACCAAAGGTGAGACACACCTGAGAGTTGGTGCACACGGCTTGGAGTGTATGCTGAGCTCTAGGCTTGCCAGGACTCAGGCTGACAGAGGGAGAAGCTGGCAAAGGGAGCAAGGCCTCCTTTGGAGGAGATCTGAGAGTGTAGATGTCTTGAGAGCCAAGAGAAAGACCCTTGTGTTGGAAAAGGGCGAGGGTTCCCTATTTTGTCTTCAGAGAGGTGCCTTCTGAAACAGAGTAGACAGGGCAGAGGGTTAGACCCCTATAAATCCTACTAAAGCAGCTAAACAAAAGTGTTTATGAATTTTCATCTGCTGTTAGCCATCTTATGTCAGGGAAGAGGATAATATTCCAGCTAAATTTCATTGTTTTTGTTTTTGTTTTTTTTTTTTGGTCAGTCATGGGGCTTGAACTCAGGACCTGGGTGCTGTCCTGATCTCTTTTGCTCAAGGCTAGTGCTCTACCACTTTGAGCCACAGTTCCACTTTCAGCTAAAATTTTAGACTCCACAGTGTGTGGATTTAGTAATGAACCAGATCAGGAAACTACAGCTTCAGAAATGGGTAAGAAAAATGAGTTCTTTAGTTTAAATTCCTCTATTTTGGTATGAAGTGTTTACAACCCAGTATAGTTAGAAATTATTTCTTACTCTGACCACTTTGTCAAGTTTTTTCACAGTGTGCTGAAAATTAGATGTGACCTGGCATTTCATTTGACTTTATTTGCTAAGTGACAATATTATTAATGCGGCTTTTTACATTTACTTTTTAGGTATAAGATGCATGCTATATATGATAAAGATGTGTTTTAGCATATACAATATAAAATGTACACTGTATGTATAAGTGTAAGTAAGTGTAAGTGTAAGTCTAGCTGTGTCCTTTTTCGTTTTCTTTTTTTCTTTTTGGCAGTACTGGGGTTTGAACTTGGCTCTCACTTGCTAGACAGATGCTATGCCACTGGAGGCACACCTCCAGCCCCAAGATGCTTTCTTAATTTTGCTTTGTTAGAATTTTATAAAGTGATGTGATCACATGAAGGAATAACGTGCGCAGCTTATACATAATTTCTATTAAGACTTCTCTACTTTGTTCCATTGAGACCTGACATTAAGGCTCTTACTGTGAAGCGTGCTTTGACACCTTGAAGACATGACCTGTTCCTTACCCATTTAGACACATGCTGGCAATGTAAGTTGGTGCACACATGGGTGATCCTTCATTAAACGTCGGTCAGTCCAGTTGTCTGTGGCTTCAGGTTCTTCAGAAGTAGAATTCATAGGCTATACGCAGGAAGAAAATCGTGTAAATTTTGGCTCTAGGAGAAGGTATTTATCTGCCTGGTATTTATCTGATTTTTAAAAAAAAATTTTTTGAAGTTGTAGCTAGAATGCTGACAAGAATGTCTCTGAACCACGGAGTCCCAGCAGCCCTGGCATCTCTAAGAGGGGTGTGTGCTGTGCTCCTTCCCCGTGGATGCAGCAGGGGCAAGGGAAAGCCACCAGGGTGGTTTTATTCCCCATAGGCAGCTGCATATGGTTTTGCTGGTCATCAGCAGTCAGGAAACCAAGGCATAGATGACCACCCAGAGCAGGATGATTTCTCATTGATGAGAACTCGGCTATCATAGGTATGCACGTTCCAGTTCAACCCCATCTGTGGCAGTGTGTTTATTTAGGGAGAGCATTTCTCATCTGCAGGCTCCTATAGCAGAGAATTGGTCCAGAGAGGAGAGTAAGTGGTACAAGCTCAGGCGGGAGCTGCTTTCTGCGGCCCATACAGGAGGTCAATGCTGACCCTCACTTCTCCACTCGCACACCTCCTGGCCTTGAGAGGTGCATGGGTATGTTCCCTGAGCAGCATTCCTGAGCTGTGATGGTCCTCATTGCTCATGATACAGAAATACAACACAGTAGCAGAACCCAGGTGTGCTCTGGTCAGGACACATCACTTCAGTTTGACAGCCCCAGATTGAGGTGAGTCAAAGCCTAATGTGAGATGGGCCCATGAATTTCAAATAAACTGGAAATATTCCTTAGGCTTACACAGAGTAAGCTCTGTGTAGAGATGTGGAAATAATGTACAGGCTTACTATTGGGGAACTTGCACTGCACACATTGAGTGTTTTGTAGACTAGAATGAAACTTGATGTTACCTGGTGAGGCAGAAGGAGTCACGTGCTCACTTGTTGCCCGAGGGTAGTGGTGCGGGTTCAGGAACAGGAACAGTGGCCGGGAGTAGTGCAGAGCAGAGGCTGGGCTCTGGAGTGGCCCCAGGGCACATGTCTTTCTCCCTGCCAACCTTTCTCCCCTTGGGTTCTGCTGCTACACTTGCCTTGACCTTCTGCTGTGCACCTGGGCCCTGACATCCATCACAGATGTCTCTAAGCTCGGTCACTTTACTTTTGGAATTGAGAATCACGAGCAGTTGCTAGAGTTCCTCAGCTTCTTGTGTCCAGTGTGACTTCTGAAGCTACTGCCCTCTGGTCTGCTGAATGATCCTTTCCTTATAGTTACCTTTTATTCCTAGTGCTTTGGTGAGAAACCTGTTTAATTTTTAAAACTTTTGAGTCTTAAGGCCTCCTGAGTGCTTGGGTTTACAGGTGTGCACTGCTGTGCCCAGCCCATGTTTTCAGAGCACAGTTACTGTTCCCACTGACCAGTCCCTCCAAGCTCTGTGCTCACTGCTTGGACCACCTAGTGCTGCTTTTGGGTCCTCACAAAGGACCTTGTGGGTTTTGTTGTTACTGTCTTGCTTTGTGGGTGGACTGAAGTGAATTGATCTGTGTCTTTTTCAGATCATAAGAGGTTTCTTCCGGCTTTCTGGGTATATAAGCTGGGCCATGTGCCTTGTCCTTTGAGGTTGTTTGACAATTCCAAGTTTTCTGGAATATTATGCTGTTATCTTTATTTTGTTTCCTTTATTTCCTTTTTTATTATAAAAAATGTAAAAAAGTAGAAAGAATGCTGATAGTTAACACCTTGATCGATTATTTCCAAGATTTTGCTATATTCACCTTAGCTATGAATTCTTACATATTATTTCAAAGTATGTCCAAAACATCCTGACAGTTCATAAATATCTCAACATGTGGCCCAAAAAATACAATGAGAGCTGGATGCAGGTGGCTCATGCCTGTAATCCTAGTTACTAAGGAGGCTGAGATCTGAGGATCCCTGTTCAAAGCCAGCCAGGGCAGAAGGTCCATGAGATGCTTATCTCCAGTAAACCACCAGAAAACTGGAAGTGGTGCTGTGGCTCAAGTGGTAGAGTGCTTGCCTTGAGCTGAAGAGCTGAGGGACAGTGCCCAGCCCCTTCAAGCCCCATAACCAACTAAAAAAATAAATAAATAAAAATACAATTAAATAGGCATTTTCTTATGCAGCCACAAAGTTTTTAACTTACTGAATAGATTATTGTTTTCTAGTATTAAAAAACCTATTTTTTTTTGTTCTAACTGTTCCAAAAATGTTTTCAATTTTTTAAAGTATGTTATTTCATCAGATTTTTTTTTTTTTTTTTGGCTTGAACTTGGCTTTCTACTAGCCAGCATACATGTACAACTTGGACCATCTCCCCTGACCCTTTTTGATCAGACTGAACAGAAACTAAGCACAGCTAAAGTTTGCACAGACCCCTCGGAGAATGTCAGAGTACTGGCAATGACCTTATGAGTGTTGCTGACTGTGGACTTCAGCAGTAGTAACTGAGGTGGCATCACCCTTGAAGCCATGCACACTTGAGTTTACATTAGCTCTGTGAAACAGGGTGAGCTGCGGCTCAGGATGGGTGAGGACCCTGATGCACAGGTATTGCTTAGATTCAGAGCCTGAACTTAGAAGGCTGGCCCTTTTAAAATTGGTGATACTTGGATTTGAACTCGGGGCCTTGCACTTGCTAGGAAGACCCTACCACTTGAGTGACACTTTTTTATCTTTATTATTTTCTGAATAGATTATTGTCCCATTGCATCAGTTGCTAGGTAATAGAAATTTTATTTTTTAATAAGCTCGTTGTTTACTTTTTTAAAGCTGTGGCTGGTTAATCTTCTTTGTCACTGAGACTTGACTGGAGTATTGTTGAGAATATATAATCTGCTCTTGTGTTCTTTCAATTTGTGTGAACTTGAGGTTTAGTAAGGCTTACTTAGGAATGCTTGTAAAACTTTGGAAAGAAAAGATGATGCAAAGTATCTAGATTAGGAATGGTAGCTCAATGATAGAATGTTACCTTGGGTTGAATCCCAGCATTGCCAAAAAAAAAAAAGAACCAAAATATTATTAGTCTCAGACTATGGACAGAAAATAATAGACTTGTATGTATTTAGTGTGATGCTGTTTTACATATAGAAAATATTTGATGCTGTTGAATCAAAAATGATAAAATTATTAGAGCTCTTCTATAATTAGTAATATATAATTTTTAAGCTTATGTTTGCTTTTATGTCTTAATAGTTCATGTTCATTTTCTTGTCATGCTCTCTAAAATATTATAGACACTTAGACTGTTAAGTCTACTTTATAGATTGAAATTTTTTCCTTATAAAAGTGTGTCATATGTCTAAATGAGTTATAGATGGCTAATGACTGATTCTGGCTTCAGGAAAGGGAGTATTTTCCTCTCTTATTTTCTCTCCAAAAGAATGGTGTGTCCTTGGGTGATGGTTCCATTTTTTTTTTTTTTCTGTTAGTGCTAGTACTGGGGCTTGAACACTGGTCCTTGCGTTTTTGCTTAGCTTTTTTTACTTATGGCTGATACTCTATCACTTGAGCCACCTTCACTTTCCAGTTTTTTTTTTTCTGGTTAATTGGAGATTAGGATGATAGGCGTGAGGTGGTGTTGGCTTCTTTTGCTTTTTTTTTTTTTAGGTTTTATATCAACTTTATTTTCAGAACCAACCTGCAATGAGTGTCAGTATACCCCCATTACTTCAGACTATTGTAGGAATCATATTCATTCTTTTTTTGGGGGTCAGTTGTGGGGCCTGAACTCTGGGCCTGGGCGCTGTCGCTCAGCTCTTCAGCTCAAGGCTAGCGCTCTACCACTTGAGCCACAGTGCCACTTCTGGCTTTTTCTGCTTATGTGGTGCTAAGGAATTGAACCCAGGGCCTCATGCATGCAAGGCAAGCGCTCTACCACTGAGCCATCTTCCCAGCCCCTCATATTCATTCTTACATGTGCCAAAACTCATACTCAACAATGAGTTCTGGGTTTCAGAACTCATTTCTGCTTTTAATAGGGAAAATATGTGACTTCTCAGGCATTGATATTTCACCAACTCAGTAATCAACCTCTCAGTATGTCAGGATGGCGACTGTGAAAGAAATATTTCCTTTTCTTCTGCCTTTCCTGCAATGGCCAGCTACCTGCGTCAGCTTAACTCCCAGGCGTGGCTGAGGAGGGAGCAGCAGTGGAGGCTGCTGTGTCGAGGAAGGTCTAGAAGTGGAAGGTGGGCAGTCTGCCATGGCCAGGGAAGTACCCAGCTGAGTAGTACTGCTTACAGACAGTTCCAGAATCATACAAGAGAGGAACATTCTGGAAACACATTTTCCTAGGCTGTCTTTGTCAGCCCTGTGTATACTTTCTGTGTGGGAGAATGTGAATGGATAAGTGTGCTTTTCATCAGCCAGGTCATTTGTCACCCCTTCCCCCTTCAGTGTGCAGCCTTAGTGACCAGTTGTAAACTGTTTCAGTAGCTAATACTAACTGGACTAGTATTTCAGATGATAATTCAACCAGTCGGTGGCGTGAGAGCAGTGAGGCAGCCCCGGCAGTAAAGCAGACAGGTAAGAATGGCTCCTGCACACCTGTGGGAGCAGATGGAGCACCTGTGTGAGGGGCTGCTGAGTAGGCTGGCTGGCACCTACTCTCCCTTCGGGCACAGCCCATGTGCCACCTCCTCCTGGAGCTGGGTGTGGCAAGTAAACCGCGCTCCCTTTGCACATACCCCACGGTGTTAGTAGGCAGCACAGGAGACACCACTCTGAAACAGGTTTTTGGGGTGACTGGGGATTTCTGCAGGCTGGCTTTGGAAGTACATGAGTGTAGCCACTGCCACCATCCACCCAGTTACTATGTTCCCCCAGGTCTCAAGTGCAGTCCTGTCTTAGCAGTGTTATGCTCAGCTTAGAAAGAGCTATAAAATACAAGAGCCTGTTTCTCAAAACCTTGACACACTCACAGCATGCGTTGATGGGTCTGGGGGTTGTGGGGCATGGCCAGGTGAGGTGAATGTTTGTCTATTCACACAGAAAGTATTTAACAGAGGCTGTTGTGTGTCGGCCCCAGAGGGAGTGCATCAGGGAGCAGAGAGGACATCCGCTGCTTCCCAATGTTAGCACACAGGCTGAAATGATGCATGCACATGGAATAAAGAGACTGCTTAACATGAGGTGCTGGAGGGAGGGAGAGGAGCAGGGGTGTTGGGTCTTTGCTGACGGGGAGCAGGGGTGGTGGCTGAGGAGTCTGCCAGGCAGCAGGAAGTGCATAGTGGAGCTCAGGTGATGGCTGGGCACGATGGAAGCATTGAGAGTGAGGCAGGGGGAGTGGGGAGGGGCTGGCAGACCTCGTGTGGCCATGTGTGAGAGCATTCGGCCTTTGAGAGCAGTGGGAGGCTGGTACCTGTGGGCATGTGGATGAAGAGCTGTCACACGTGCAAGGGTACAGGAGCCAGGTGCAGGTGAGCTCTCTGGGCCAACGTCTGGCACAGTGGGACCAGAGAATAGTAGGAGGGAGCTGGGAAGGATGTCTTAGCAGCCTAGGTAGGCTGCACTATATGGAGAAGGCCTCTGTATCTCTGGTGATGGGACTGGAAGTGTCCCTTGGTTGAGGTACTGTCTCTACAATATAGACAGGTCGTATGTTCACTTACTGTCTGGAATTGCCTTGTGATTTAATTACCCTGCCTCAGTAACCTTTCCAAATGCCTTGTGAATCCACACCCAGCAACCCCAAGACATTGTCCCCCTATCTCATAGGACTCTTTGTGCTGTCTCTGCAAAAGGCTCAGACTCCAGGTCACACCACATTGCCCGGCCTTTGCCTTTGGCAGCCCTGTCCCCAGGTTGAGCAGAGCCCCGACACCCCTGATGCCCTGAGCACCATCCTAACGTCCTTGAAGCAGCTCTTCCAGCATCACTGATGCTCACCTTCATGCTGTCCTCTGCCTGGAGCCGTGATCTGTAGGTCCCTCATTGCTGCTGCCTCTGCTGTGTCTGGGATGTGACCTCTGGGGTCTCCTAGGGCTGTAGAGACAGGGTTTCTCCCATAGCACTCACAGGAGGCCTCCCATGGCTATGGAAGTGCTCGTCCCCTTTGATTCCTGTGGCGTGCCAGGAGGCTGTCCCTGTGGAGGTAGGCATACATGAATGCACATACTTGTCCCCTTCTCCTGTGTCCTCACCCTCACAGCCACCCATGTAGTGCAGGTCTTTTGCAAATGTGTTCCTGTATTTTCAGAGTGTGACACAAATATTTTGTACCTTAGGCTGGCTTTGAGTACTTCCCTCCCCCCATGGATGACCTGGGTGGAGGTACAGAGGGGCTGTGGAGCCTGGTGGAGACTTGTTCCACAGGGTGGGCTGAGCTTCTTCACCACATCTTGCAAGTAGCTTGGAATTTGTTCTCCCTGTCTCAGCCTTCATACTAGCCCCTAATGGTGCAATTTATCTCTGTACTTGTCTCCATGATCTGGCTTCCAGTTTTTATGTGAGTATTATTCATAGCTGAAAATGTCAGAACAGCAGTGGAATACTGGGAAAAAGGCCCTGAGGGGCAGCCTTATTTCCTAGTCCGTACTGTGCCATTCGTGGTGTGCTTTTCTCTACTGCTGCTCACAGTGTACGGACCCAAAGCTCACTTCTGATGTCCTCTTTGTTTAGGTGACTCCACCAGCGATGCAGGTGAGGATGGCTCTGCAGTATTTGGAGAAGTTGCAGGCTGCGCAGGTGTCACGACGGCTCTCAGTTCTGTGCTTCCTTTACATTTGCACCAGTGAAAGTATTTTAAGGAAATGTGCCATGTGAATTTAAGAGTCAATTGATATGTTTTAAATTGCAATCCTGTAGGGGTACTATGCATAATGTTAGTATATTTTAATCATGAAAAGACAGTATTTCAGGACTTTTTTTCCCACTGTATGTTTATTTCCAATGTTTAAGTTCTGATTTATTACTTTCTGAATTACTCCTACTTTATTGTCATTTTTGGTAGTACCGGGGTTTGAGCTAGGGCAAAGTCTTTGCCAGTTGAGTCACATTTCAAGCCCTTTTTTGCTTCAGCTATTTTCCAGGTAGGATCTCATGCTTGGCACAGGGTGGATCACAGACTGTCCTCCTCTTACCTAATGGCCTCCCTGTGGCAAATTAGAGACATGTGCCACCATGCCTGGCTCATGTTTTGCCTCAGCTGGTATCCAAATAGCTGAATAGACATGAGCCACAGTGCCTGGCACTTTTACTTTCGTGAACAAAACTTAATTCTCTTTAATAGTTTGGGTTTCTAACTTGTAAGTTAAATCTTTTTACCAAATGAAACGACAACAACAAAAACCTTTCAGATTATAAAAAACCGATGTGGTACCATGGTTGTTCAAGAGGTAGAGTGCCAGCCATTAGAAATCCAAACAAGAGCTCAAGGCTTTGAATTGAAACCCTCATACCAGTATGGGGTGGGGGTGTGGGGATGCTGTAGTACACATCTGAGCAGAAAATTTTCAAAATGTAGATATAAAAAGTGCTTGGCAACTCTACTACTTGAGGCGTAAGTGGACATCTGCCCAGTACCCCATGTGTGTGTATATAATCATGGGTTGGTGCTCTACTGCATAAGTTACCTATTAGAAGGTTAAGTGTTTTAGAATTGAGTCTAACATGTGACTGACCAGTCCATAATTTGGTACCCTCCTGGCTGATGTGTAATTACATATGCCTATTTCTTTTTTGGGGGAGGGGGTCTGGTCGTAGGTTCTGAACTCTGGGCCTGGGCACTGTCCCTCAGCTCTTCAGCTCAAGGCTAGCGCTCTACCACTTGAGCCACTTCCGGCTTTTTTCTTTTTTCTTATGTGGTGCCGAGGGATCGAACCCAGGGCCTCAGGCATGCAAGGCAAGCGCTCTACCACTGAGCCACCTTCCCAGCCCACATATGCCTAGTTCTTAGGTTGTATTTTTTAAGTTAAATTGCAGAGTTGATTATTCTTTCATCCATAGTGTTTGAGTACACCCATTTCCTCAAATCTTCACCCTATTTAGATATCAGACATCTTTGTTTTATTAGAATCAAAATGGACAAAAATATAACTCATTTATATTTGAAGTCATTTACTCTTTTCAAATATTTACATTTGAATTAATGGATATTTACATTTGAATTATAGAATTAAATCTTATCAGTTTGTGTTTTGTGAATTGCTGATTGGATTGTCACCTGTTTAGATGGAGAAGCTGGACCTGCTTTACAAGAGAAGTCAGAGGTGTCAGAGACTGCTGAAATCCCCAGTGAGCTTTCCTCCAGTGTCAGGTAAGTGCTTTTTTACCCAAGGCTTGGCCCAGTGGCCATGTCCAGGGAGGTGCTGTGGCACCTCTTCTCAACCCTTTTGCTGTGTGCTTAGTGCTTGTGCTGACTTAGAAAAATATTTGTACAAAGAAAGCAAAAGTTAGTAATGTACTGCATACCAAATATTGTAGAAGTTTAGGGAAATGCTTAGAAATGGTTGAGGTATGCCACTTTGAGGTAACTGTCTCACTACTCTGCTGAGTGTGTCTAGTATGTTGGTGGTGTCGTGGAACTTAGCACTAATGTTGACCTTGGTTTTCTCTTGTCCACTTCAAAATGTGTTTCTTACATGTCTTTTTTGCTTTTCTAACACTTGGGTCTAGAAGAATACCTCGGCCTGGGAGTGCACGGCCTGCACCTCCCCGGGTTAAACGACAGGAGAGCATGGAGACACTGCCAACAGACAGGTGAGGCTAGTTGTATGGGCCACAAGTGCTCTTCTGAACATGCAGGCGTGGGCTTGTACTAAGAGAGCGTGGTGGCTCAGTGGTAGAGCGCTTGCCTTGCACGCATGAGGCCCTGGGTTCAATTCCTCAGCACCACATGAGCAGAAAAAGCCGAAAGTGGCACTATGGCTCAGGTGGTAGAGTGCTTGCTTTGAGCTGAAGAGCTGAGAGACAGCGCCCAGAGTTCAAGCCTCACACCCAACCAAAAATCAAACAAACAAACTAAGGGTGGCAGGAAATTCTGGGAAAGCTCAGCCCTAAACCATATAACTGCATACCTTCCAGATGAATGGGAGGGGGGGTGAGGGGAGGAGGAGGGGGTGGGACTTCAGAAATGATGGGCTATTTTTCTCAGATCCCTAGGTAGAAGGCTTTGTAAGTATCAAAACAATGAGGGAAAAGGGGGAGGGGGAAGGTTAATGGCTTATTTGCACAAAAGTTTAAAAACAAATGGTTCAGCTGGGTCCTGGCAGCTCACATAGCTACTCAGGAGGCTGAGATCTGAGGACCTCAGTTTGAAGCCAGCCCAGCCAGGAAAGTCTGTAAGACTCTAATCTCAAAAAGCTGGAAGTGGAGCTGTGGCTCAAATGGTAGATTGCTAGCCTAGAGGAAAAAAGCCAACTGAGAACATAAGACCCTGAGTTCAAGCCCTAGAACTAGCTAAACAAAACTAAATGGTCTTAAAATCATGAGCAGAGACAGCGGTTAGGCTGGATCAGAATGGGTTTCAAGAAGCAGGAATAGGAGATATTAAGTGCAGACATGCTTTTCCAGGAGTTTTGCTGCAAAAGAATCACAGGAATAGTGTGGGTATACATTGCATGTACGTGTATATTATGTATGTGTGTGCATGTGTGTGTGTCTGTGTTTGTGTATTCAGGTATACAATTGCTACAGGGTAACAGTGGGGCATAGGAATTAAGGAGATTGCCTATGGTATGAGCACATTAAGTTGCAGATGAAGGCAGGTGGGAAAAGTGTCTTGAAGACTTCTTGGTTGTGGGCTTAGGCCAAGGCCCAGGTAGTGCTACTATAAGTGCTTCAGCAGAGGGAGTCTGTGTATAGCTGGGATGTTGGGTGAGAGAGTGCCAAGGTACTAGAGAGCCCTTGGATGGAAGCAGTCAGCAGGATGAGGAGAACAGTAGCTGGGCCACACTGTAGGGTGTTGGCTTGCCCAGAGTGATAGCAGGACCCAAGTAGAGGGAGGCACACACTAGAGTGTTGGACAGAGACATTAGGCCACAGCAGGCTTGGGAGGTGACTGAGGGGCATGGAGAGGGTGTTCTGTAGAGAGTCAAAGTCTGGGCAACCTTAGTACCTTGGCCTACAGAGTCTTCTTTGCCACTCCTGGTCTGAGGTTTGTCACTTAGGAGAACAGGGCCCTTCAGATAGAGGGTTGCAAGTGAAGAACTGGTCTTTGTGTAACAGAGGGCACAGTAAAGTCTGGGTAGAGGGAGGCTGGGCGTGGCCAGGAGTCCTGGGCAATGGAGGATGGTGGAGGGCAGACCCCACCTACCGGGTCTGGAGATCCCCTTCCCCACCCAGCACTGTCTTCCAGCGGTTTCTCTACCTTGGCATCTGTCTGGAAGTGATTAAATTCCTCTCAGATAACTACTGGTGTTCATCTACTGCTGGTTGATGGAAACCTGTGGCTGATACAGTACTTTAAGTGTAATCTACTTTTCTCTAATTCAGGTCAGGGAGTGGCAAAACCGTCTCAAATGTCATAATAGACTCACAGAATTCTGACAATGAAGATGACGAGCAGTTTGTGGTAGAAGCTGCCCCTCAGCTCTCAGAAATGTCAGAAATTGAAATGGTAAGTTTACTAGAAGGTGTTGTTTTTAGTAATTATGTTTAAGCAACATTAGATTAGGACTCCAGCTTTTAGATTACATAGATACACTTTTCCTAATGTTGCAGCTTGTTTTCTACCTTCTTTATATATTGTTTTCCTTTTTTGATGGTACTCTTTCAACTCAGAACCTCATACTTACTAGATAGGTGCTCTACAATTGAATCACACCTCTAGCCCTGTTCTGCACTGGTTATTTTTTTTGGTCAGTTGTGGGGCTTGAACTCTGTGCCTGAGTGCTGTGCCTGTGTTCAGCTTGAGGCAAGCACTCTACCACTTGAGCCACTGTGCCATTTCTGGTTTTCTGGTGGTTCGTTGAAGAGTCTCACAGGCTTTCCTGCTGGGGCTGGCTTTGAACTGTGATCCTCAGATCTCAGCCTCCTGAGTAGCTAGGGTTATAGGCAAGAGCCATCAGCGTCTGGCTTGGGGACTTTTTTTTGTCTAAGCTGCCCTTGATTTTGACAATTGCAGTTTGGTAGGATTATAAGCATGTGCCACTGGAGCCTGACCTCTACCTCCTTTAATTTGTTGTTGTTGAACTTACCTGCTAGGTGTGCAGAGTACCTCTAAGCAACGACTTCAGCCTCTATCTGTACTGTTTATTTATGAGATTCAGTCTTGCTTCCTACCTGAGTGAGCAGCTGGTCTACCTATTTTAGGCTTCTCATTGTTGCTAGGATGAGAGTTATGCCCTATTGCATCCAGGCCTTTTTTTTTTTGTGCCAGTCCTGGGACTTGAACTCAGGGCCTGGGTACTGTCCCTGCACGTTTTTGTTCAAGGCTAGCTCTCTACTACTTGAGCCAGAGCTCTATGTCAGGCTTTTTTTTTGTTGGTTAACCAGAGATAAGAGTCTCAAGGGCTTTCTGCCTGGGCTGGCTTTGAACCATGATCCTCTGATCTCAGCCTCCTGAGCAGAACTAGTTAACATTCAGTTCGATTGAGAAGGGTTTCATGAATTTTTCTGCTCAGACTGGTCTAGAACTTTGATCCTCACAATCTCAGCTTCCCTAGTAGATAGGATTACAGATGTGAGCTACTGGTGCCTACTGCCCTTTAATTATTTATTCATTTATAGGTATGTGTGTGTGTGTGTGTGTGTGTGTGTGTATACACGCGCGCGTGTATGTGCACGCATGTGAATTCTGGATCTTGCTCTCTCTTGTTTGCTCATGATTGTTTGCTCATGACTGTTAACATTTGAGCCATGCCTCTAGCCTTTTGCTGGCTAATTGGAAATCAGAGTCTCATGGATTTGCCTGCCTGGGCTGGCTTCACATTGTGATTCTCAAATTTCAACCTCCTGAGTAGCTAGAATTATGGACTTGAGCCATCATTGCTTGCCTTTTTTTCTTTAGTCATCTTTAAATAGTTGTACAAAGGGGTTTCAATTTAACATGTCCATTTATGTGTACATTGTATCTTAAGCATAGTCACCCCTCCAGCATCTCCCCCTTGCCCTTCCTCCATCCTGTTAATTTTTTTGAGATCCAGAGAAGCACGGTTTTGAGAATAGGGCAACCCTGAATCATTTTTTCTTCCTTTTTTTCCTGCTCAGGGGTCAGCAATGGAACTAGAGGACAATGAGAAACATGGTGAGTCCTTGTGTAACTGCATATGTATGTTTGTGTGCTAGGTTTTGGCCACGGGTTAGACATACTTGGTCCTACTAGGCTACATTCATGTTACAGTATTGGGGTAAACTGCAGTCTTCACTGGGCTGGAGGAGGGCATTGGACCCAGAGCTAGCAAGGACTTTGATCAGATGGCAGCTTCTCTTGTCTGTCTAGGTTGACTGTGGACAGGATTCCTGAGGTCTTCTTAGGCCTTCCGCTCCGGAATAGTGTCCGTTCTCTTCCCCAGGTGTATTTTCCCCTTGAATGGTCCTTTTATTAGTCCAAACTGTTGTTCTTGTGCCTGTTTGCATAAAACAGTATTTTTTTTTTTTTTATTGTAAAGCTACTATACAGAGGGTTACAGTTACATGAGTGAGGTTATGAGTACACTTCCTCTTGAACATTGTTACCCCCTCCATTGTTTTCCCCCTACCATCCCCTCCCTCCCTCCCTTCCCCGAGGTTCTTTTTTTTTTTTTTTTTTGATTGTGATTAAATGATTACATAATTTCAAAGTCACAAGTTCATTCTAACTTCCCTGGAGCAAATTGTCTACCACAGTCTGTAATATATAACAGTGTTCACATGTTATATACCATATTTGTGATCAGCAGCATGAGGATATTTAGTAGTGGTTCAACCAGATGAGCGGGAGTTCTTTGTTTCTTAAGTCCTGTTAGTTTTGTCGTATCACCTAACCTTTTGGATTTAGCATCCACTTATGAGGGAGACCATGTACCGTTTGTCTCTTCGTTCTTGGCTTACCTCGCTCAACATGATTCCTTCTAGCTCCATCCATTTCCTTGCAAATGCCATTATTTTGTCATTTCTAATGGCTGCATAATATTCCATTGTGTATAGATACCACAATTTTTGGATCCATTCATCTGTGGTGGGGCACCTAGGTTGTTTCCATATCCTAGCTATTGCGAACAGTGCTGCAATAAACATGGAGGTGCACGTGTCCTTGTATATTGGTTCCTGTTGTTCAGGGTAGATGCCTAGAAGTGGTATGACTGGGTCGTAAGGGAGGTCAATCTTTAGCTTTCTAAGGACCCTCCAGACTGCTTTCCAAAGTGGTTGTATAAGTGTACATTCCCACCAGCAGTGTAATAGGGTTCCTCTTTCTCCACATCCCCTCCAGCATTTGTCGTTGGCTGATTTGTGGATGTGGGACATTCTGACTGGGGTAAGGTGGTATCTCAGGGTTGTCTTTATTTGCATTTCCTTCACCACCAGGGATGATGAACATTTCCTCATGTGTTTCTTTGCCATTTTTATTTCTTCATTTGAGAAGTCCCTCTTTAGTTCCCTTGCCCATTTAGTAATTCGTTTGTTAGGTTTGGGAGGGATTAGTTTCTTGAGTTCCCTGTATATACAGGATGTTAACCCCTTGTCTGATATATTGCTGGTAAATATTTTTTCCCAATTAGTTGGTTGTCTTTCTAGCTTAGTTGCGATAGATTTAGCTGTGCAGAAGCTTTTTATTTTAAGGTAGTCCCATTTGTTGAGTCTCTCTCCAACTTGTTGTGACCCTGGGACTCTGTTCAGGAAGTTCCTTCCTGTGCCTATTAGTTCAACTGTCTCTCCTACTCTGTCCTGCAGTAGTTTCAGAGATTCAGGTTTAATGGTAAGGTCTTTAATCCATTTTGAGTTGATGTTGGTGCATGGTGATAGGCTGGGGTCCACTTTTAGTTTTCTGCATGTGGCTGCCCAGTTTTCCCAGCACCAGCGGTTGAAGAGGCTGTGTTTCTTCCATTGTATGTCTTTGGCTCCTTTGTCGAATATCAGCTGGCTGTAGGCCTGTGGATTTATATCTGGATCTTTTATTCTGTTCCATTGGTCTTCGGGTCTGTTTTTGTGCCAGTACCATGCTGTCTTTGTGATTATAGCTCTGTAGTAGAGTTTGAAGTTCGGCATGGATAGCCCTCCCATATTGTCTTTATCCCCTAGAATTGTTTTGGCTATTCTAGGTCTTTTGTTGTTCCATATAAATTTTTGGACTGTTTTCTGTATTTCAGTGATGTACGTCATTGGGATTTTAATAGGAATTGCATTGAATTTGTATATTAGTTTTGGAAGTATCACCATCTTTACTATATTAAGTCGGCCTATCCAGGAGCATGGGAGGTCTTTCCATTTCCTAGTGTCTTCTGCAATTTCTTTCTTTAACTTTTTATAGTTCTCATTAAATAGTTCTTTTACATCTTTGGTTAGGTTAATTCCTAAATATTTTATTTTTTGGGAAGTTATTGTGAATGGGGTTGCTCCCTTTATTTCCCTCTCTTCCTATGCGTTATCAGTGTATAGGAAGGCAACTGATTTTTGTGGGTTTATTTTGTATCCTGCTATTTTGCCGAAGTGACTTATGATTTCTAAAAGTTTGGGGATGGAGTTTTTGGGATCGTGGAGGTATAGTATCATGTCGTCTGCAAAAAGGGATAGTTTCACTTCTTCTTTCCCTATGCGGATCCCTTTAATGTCTTTTTCTTGCCTTATTGCCCTGGCTAAGGGTTCTAGGACTATGTTGAAGAGGAGTGGAGACAGTGGACATCCTTGCCTTGTTCCTGTTTTTAGGAGGATTGGTTGTAGCTTTTCCCCATTAAGTATAATATTGGCTGTTGGTCTGTCATAAATGGCTTTTATTGTTTTTAGAAATGTTCCTTCTATTCCTATTTTCTCCAGAGCTTTTAGCATGAATGAATGTTGAATTTTATCAAAGGCCTTTTCTGCATCTGTGGCGATAATCATGTGATTCTTGACCTTGGCTCTGTTGATATGCTGGATTACATTTATTGACTTACGTATGTTAAACCATCCCTGTGTCTCTGGGATGAAGCCTACCTGATCATAGTGTATTATTTTTTTTATGTGTTTCTGGATTCTGTTAGCTAGAATCTTGTTAAGGATCTTTGCATCTGTGTTCATCAAGGAGATTGGCCTGTAATTCTCCTTTTTGGTTGGGTCTTTGCCTGGTTTGGGGATGAGTGTGATATTGGCTTCGTAGAATGAGTTTGGGATAGCTCCCTCCTTCTCTGTTTCTCTGAAGAGCTTGAGGAGTATGGGTATTAGTTCTTCTTTAAAGGTCTTATAGAATTCTGCTGTGAATCCATCTGGTCCTGGGCTTTTTTTTGTTGGAAGACTTTTGATAGCTTCCTGTATCTCATTATAGGATATTGGCTTATTTAATTGGTTAACTTCTTCTTTGCTCAGTTTGGGTAACTTGTATTTCTCTAAAAATGCATCCATTTCCGCCAGATTTTCTTCCTTTAGAGAGTATAGCTTTTGAAAGTAGTCTGTTAGAATTGTTTGGATATCTTGGGTACGTGTTGTGATGTTTCCCGTGACATCCCTAATCCTATTAATATGGGTTTCCTCTCTTCTTTTTTTAATTAATCTTGCCAACGGGCCATCAATTTTGTTTATTTTTTCAAAGAACCAGCTTTTTGTTTGGTTTATTTTGGTTATGGTTTTCTGATTTTCTAATTGGTTAATCTCTGCTCTCAATTTGGTTATCTGGCTTCGTCTAGTAGCTTTAGGTCCCATTTTTTCTTGTTTTTCTAGCTGTTTTAGTTGCAACATGAGATTATTTACTTGGTCTGTCTCCATTTTCTTGATGTGGGCACTGAGGGCACTAAATTTGCCCCTCAGGACTGCTTTTGCTGTGTCCCACAAGTTTCTTTGTGAGGTGTTTTCATTTTCATTGAGTTCTAGGAAATGCTTTATTTCTTCTCTGATCTCTTCTGTTACCCAGGCCTTGTTAAGGAGTGTGCTGTTCAATTTCCATGTATTAGAGAAATTTCTGCGGTATGCTTTGTTATTGAGAGCTAGCTTGATTCCACTGTGGTCAGATAGGATACAGGGGATTATGTCGATCCCTTTGTATTTGCTTAAGTTCCTTGAATGAACTATGATATGGTCTATTTTGGAGAAAGTTCCATGAGCTGCTGAGAAGAATGTGTACTGTGTTGTTTTAGGGTGAAATACTCGGTAGATGTCAGTTAATTCCGCTTGAAGTATGGCCTCACTTAATTCGGTAGCTTCTTTGCCAACCTCTGGTTGGTAGACCTGTCCTTTGGTGAGAGTGGCGTGTTAAAGTCTCCTAGTATTATCGTATTGGGATCTATTTTATTCTGTAAGTTTGAGAGCATTTGTTTAACATATCTGGGTGCACCGATATTTGGGGCATATAAGTTGATGATGGTTATATCCTCCTCTTGGATTGTTCCCTTTATTAATATGTAGTGTCCGTCCTTGTCTTTCTGTACTGATTTTAATGAAAAGTTTATTTTGTCAGATATCAGGATAGCTACACCTGCTTTCTTATTGGGGGAATTTGATTGGTAGATCCTTTTGCACCCCTTCACTCTGAGTTTGTTTGTATGTTTGGCTGAGAGGTGGGTCTCCTAAAGGCAACAGATGGATGGGTCTTGTTTTCTGATCCAGTCCTCAGTTCGTTTTCTTTTAATTGGCGAATTCAGCCCATTTATATCAAGAGAAAGTATAGAGAGATGCATTGTTGTCCCTGCCATTCCGTTTTCCTAAGTTTTTCTTCTTTCCTTTCCTCCTGTGCTTGCTCAGTTAGACTTTGAGTAATGCCTGTTTGGGGCAGGTCCCAGTTCCTGGTTGCTTTCTTCAGGTTGTGTCCCCTCTCTTAGAATTCTTTGTAATGCTGGCTTAATGTTTATGTATTCATTTAGTTTTTCTTTGCTATTAAAAGTTTTCAGTTCTCCATCGAATGTGAATGCTAGCTTTGCCGGGTATATCAGTCTGGGTTGGCAGTTATTGGCTCTCAGGGCTCGTATGGTGCTTTCCCAGGCTTTTCTTGCATTCATTGTTTGTGTGGAGAGATCTGCAGTGATTCTAATTTTTTTCCCGTTGTAGTATAGCTCCTTCTTCATTTTTGCTGCATGCAGGATTGTTTCCTTATTATTCAGATCCATCATTGTTACTATTATGTGCCTAGAAGTGTTTCTCCTG